ATTGAGGAATGATGGGAAAATGATGAGTGAGGAAAATTGAGCAGTAAGGTGGAATGAAGTGGGGTAAAGTGGAGGTTGAATATCAAAGTACTTGTATACAAGTTGTGTATTGTATGTTTGATGCCGAGTTTGAAAACTTGTGAATGGAGAACCACTTTTGGAAATAGTTGTATGCATACTTGCATGTTGAGTATTATTTGTTAAGGTTTCAAGGTTCAACAATTTTTGAGTCTCAGAACTCCAGATTTAAGTTCAAACTTCAAACTTAATAATTGTGAAGTTATGAAATTTTGAAATTCTTAATTTTCAATCCCCAAATTGTGCAATTCGAAATTTACAGAATCCCAAAATTTTGCAATTTCAAATTTCCAGGGTCTTCAAATTCTTCAATTGCAAATTTCTACATTTTCTAAATTTTGCAATTCCAAATTTCTGCAATTCCGAAATTACGCAATTCCAAATTTCCAGAGTCTCCAAATTCAGCAATTCCAAATTTCTACAGTTCCTAAATTTTGCAATTCCCAAATTTTGCAATTCCAAACTTTGTAATTCCAAATTTCTACAATTCCCAAATTCTGCAATTCCAAATTTCTACAGTTCCCAAATTCTGCAATTCCAAATATCCAGAGTCTCCAAATTCAGCAATTCCAAATTTCCACAGTTCCTAAATTTTGCAATTCCAAATGTTGTAATTCCCAAATTTCACAATTCCAAACTTTGTAATTCCAAATTTCTACAATTCCTAAGTTGTACATTTCCAATTTTCCAGTCTCCAAATTCAGCAATTCCAAATTTCCACAGTTCCCAAATTCAGCAATTCCAAATTTCCAAAGTTGCAAAAATATACAATTGCAAATCTCAATAAATCCGAAAACTTTCCAAAATTCCAAATTTTCTAAAATGTCCAAATTCCCAAGAAATTCCAAAGTCTCTCCTTACGTTCCAAGTGGAAGATTCGAAACTCCCAACGCCATAACTCTTTCGGATTATTCTTTCGCCCCACTTATTAAATGTTTGCAGAGATCCAGTTAAAAATATAACATCACATATGCATCTGGGATTCTCATCGTTCAATTAGAAACGTGTTTCGTGTCTGAAATTGCTTGCCTCGTGGTTGAGGCGTTTCTTTGTTGCGAGAGGAGTGCAATTCTTGTGCCGTTCGTGAAGGAAATAATTCAAAACGTGTCTCGAGAAGTAGAGTACGTTTCTCCCGTGTATACGTTCGTTTCAGCTATAATTTTTATACTTCCGCTTTTATTTAAAACTGGCTTACTTCTATTCTTAGAAGGAATATGCTATCGTTTGCGTATAAGCAATAATTTGGTTATTTTAGTGGTTGTGTAGGTAAATATAGATGTGCAGGAATAATTTTAAACTTCATTATTGTTCCTGTTAAAATATATAAGATAGTAGTACATGCAAGACGTGAATTAAAATATTTAATAATGTATTTTGTAACATGTTTTGCTGCACGTTTTGTAAGACATTTTGTAATACATTTTTGTGACACATTTTTGTGACACATTTTATAATACATTTTATGACACATTTTTGAGACACATTTTATAACAAATTATTTAACATTGATTGAATATAATTATTTTGAAATCTCACTGAAAGAGTCAAAATCAATTTTTAATAAACTTCTTCATTTATAAATAAAACACTGAAGAAATTGCAACAAAAATGTTCAATGAACGTCACACAAGAGTCAGTCAAATTTTTAATAAACTCAATTCCTGAGACCAGTTTTTAATTTCAAAATAAATTTTGCAGTTTTCTGTTCAAATTATGTCGGACCAAAAAAATTAAGCTTCTTCATTAAATTGAGTTACGGTAAACGATAATAACGTAATGTTAATAGTAAGAACGTGATTCGAAACCGCTTTTCGTTGTTCCTCGAAAGCAAGTGGGTCAAAAGCGTACGCGATGATTAAACACCGATCGCACCCCTCCTTCATCCATCTCCCTAGACTCGTTTGCTTTTTTTTCTCTCGCCCCGTTCGCGTCGAAAGCCATTATCGCGAAAAGCGGCTCGATACATATATAAATGATTATAAATAACTGGAAATCGATAGTGAAAAAACCGCCCGTTAAAGGACCGCTCGTAAATCAATCCGAGCATCATTAATTTAATACGCGAACACCCGTCGATCCCGGTGTGGAAGCAACGCGTCGAAACAGAGAGAAAAACCTGCTATTAATTACTTTTTTAACGCCTACGAGGAGCGAAAGAACCGAGTGAGCATCGTTTCGATAACACGGCTGGAAACAAACAGTTACCCGATATTATTTCGATTCCTTTTCTGTCCGAAACGGTTTTACTCGGGAAATATGCTTTCATTAATTAGACGAGGGTTTTTCTTGATATAATTATCTCCATTTTTACGTTATTGCATTTCTCAGACATTTTAGTCATATAAATAAATTATACATAATAGTGAATTTTTGGTAATTTTGCAATGGGAGCATGGATTTTTACTTTTTATGTTAAATGGCTTGTGTGGAATTTTTTTATTCGAAACTGAATGTGCGACGTTTTTGTATGAAAATTTGGAAGTTGGAGGAATTTAAGAATTTAAGATTGGAAATTTGGAAAATTGAGATTTGTGGTAAATTCACAAATTTAGATACAGAAATTTTGCAATTAGGGAATTGAAAAATTGAGATGTAAAAATTTGAGGAAACTTGGGAATTTAGAAAGATTGGAAATTTGAAAGTTTAGGGTCTATAATAAATTAATATGAGAAATACAAAATTTGAAAAATTTGGAAATTTAGCTTTCTAATAATTTAAGAAGCCCAGTAATCATCCCAGTAGTCAAATAAATTGCTGGAAACTCAAATTACCAAATTTCCCAATTCTCCAAATTTGCAATTACAGAAATTGTTCACAATATTAAAAATTTATAAATTAGTAGAATTGAGAGACTCGCAATCTCAAAACTTCCAAAGCTTTCATTACAACACACCCCATACTCAAAATTAAAAATTCGTACACTTATTCACCCTTGAACTAAAACTTGAAGTACTCGATTCTTTGCTGAAGAACCGTATTTCCCAAGGAGGAACAATTTCATTTCTCCGTTCGAAGGTTGAAGAACCTTCATAATACCGGTAACACGCGTTTCTCATAACCATAACGAAAAAGCAGGCAAGATTTTCCCCGCACCCTCTTTAAATATAGCTTTTATTGCTTATTCAGGGAACAACCGAAAGTATCTCCGGGAGAAACTGCAGAAAGATTCTCTCCATCTTTGCATCCGTGTGTATATGTATCTGTGTGTCTACCTCGACGTATATATCTATGTCTGTGTGGGTCCCACGTGAACGTACAATATGCTTTTGCACGAGAATATTCCTATTTCTTCGGTACAGTCAAGAATAGATTTATTTTCCCTAGAGAGTATGTGGGAACCATGGTGGTGGAGTACTTATCGATTTTTACGATTTTTTGGAGATTTTAATATTTAGATTTTATTGGGGGTAGTTGGGGAGAGTTTTGAGGACAGATATTTAGGGATTTTGGGATTTATGCAATTTCGGGGTTCATGGAATTTTAGGGTTTATGGAATTTTGGAATTTCGGGAATTCTGGGAATTTTAGGAATTTTGGGATTTGGGGATTTGGGGAATTTGGGGAATTTGGGGAATTTGGGGAATTGGGGAAATGGGAATTTGGGAATTTGGGAATTTGGGAATTTGGGAATTTGGGAATTTGGGAATTTGGGGACTTGGGGATTTGGGGATTTGGGGACTTGGGAATTTGGGGATTTGAGAATTTGGGGATTTGGGGACTTGGGGATTTGAGAATTTGGGGATTTAGGGACTTGGAGAATTTGGGGAATTGGGGAAATTTGGGAATTTGGGAATTTGGGAATTTGGGGATTTGGAGACTTGGAGATTTGGGAATTTGGGGACTTGGGGATTTGGGCATTTGAGAATTTGGGGATTTGGGGACTTGGGGATTTGGGGACTTGGGAAATGTGGGAATTGGAGAAATGGGGGAAAGTTGGGGAATTGGTGGAATTTTGGGAATTTGGGAATTTGGGGATTTGGGGATTTGGGGACTTGGGGAATTTGGGGATTTGGGAACTTGGGAAATTTTGGAATTGGAGAAATTGGGGAAATTTGGGGAATTTGAGGAATTTAGACGTGGGAGTTTGGGATTTGGAGAGTGAAGGATATGGAAATTTAAGGATTTGGGGATCCAGTGATTTGGGAACCTGAGAGTTTGGGGACATTGGTACTTGTGAACCTTCGGATATGGCGACTTTGAGATTTGGGGACATGGATATTCAGGGTCCTTGAGATATTGACACTTAGGGATTGGGGACGTGGATATTTGCGGACGTTGGGGTTTGTGGACATAGGTCTTCAGAGTCCTTGAGATTTGGGCTCTTTCAGATTTGAGAACGTGGGTAATTGTGGACGTTGAGATCTGGAGATATAGGTGTTTAGCGTCTCTGAGATTTGAGCACTTTTAGATTTGATGATGTAGGTATTTGGACACTTTGGGATTTGAGAACGTGGGTATTTGAGAACTTTGAAATTTAGCAACGTAGCTATTTATTGTCCTTGAGATTTGATCATATTTAGAGTCACTAAAAGAGGACTTCGCAATTTGAGGACCTGTATATTGGAAAACCTTGAAGTTTGAGGACATCAGTAATAATCAACGAACTTGAAAATTTTAATAATTGTAAAATTAGGTATTTGTGTTATCAGAAAATTGCAACTTATGAAGAGAAACAATTTGCGAACTCAAATACTTAAAAGTTCAGAAATACAAAAGTTTCTCCACTTATAAATTTAACAAATACAATACCTCAAGACTTGCAATCTAATAAACTTGCAAATATAAGAATTCGATAATGTATAAATGTAATCATTTGTACAATAAAAATCTTACAAATTTAATAATTGAATAATCTCTATTCAAAATTCGTCCACAATAGAGTATACTTTGATAATAATATCATCCGTTTCTCCGATCCCGCAGATTGAGACAAGACAAGGGCGGCGGTGCCTGGTGCCCAAAAAATATGGTCACAAAAGAGGGCAAGGAGTACCTGGAGGTGAATCTGCACAACCCTCGTATACTATCGTCTGTCAGGACCCAGGGAAGATTCGGGAATGGCCACGGGGTCGAGTACACCGAGGAGTACTTCGTCGAATATTGGCGACCAGGGTTCAACAAGTGGGTGCGATGGAGAAATCGACGTGGCATGGAGGTACGTACACACCTTCCGCCTGTTGGCACACGATCGATTCGAACCTTCTTTTTTCTCTCTCGCTCTTTCGCTTTCAGACCACTCTGCCTCTCTTTTATAGCCGTTGCGAGACACTCGAGAAATTCGCGGTGTAGCTGGACTCGTTTGGGGTTGCTTGTAAACGCTCGTTATGGCGTGTTAAGCTCGACTGTGTTTGCAGTGGAGCTTCGCGAGCGGTTTCGTCGTACTACGCTGATTTTAAGCGAACTTAATTACGATCTCTTGTTGATACGGTTCTGGTATTTTCTATTGATTTTTTGCGGGTTTTCGGAGGGTTCTGAACGGTTTTGTTGGGTTTTGTTATACTGTTATTTACTTACTTTGTATTTACATTTCTGTATTTCTATATTGCTACATTTTTATATTTTTATATTTTTAGATTTTTGGATTTCTAGATTTTTAGATTTTTAGATTTTTAGATTTTTAGATTTTTAGATTTTTAGATTTTTAGATTTTTTGATTTTTTGGTTTTTAGATTTTTAGATTTTTAGATTTCACATTGCAAATATTCTGCACAAAATTTTTGTATTTCACCAAACATTAGTTGCAATTTCTCAATTAGGGAAAATATCAAAAATCTAACCTGTCCTTCATAATTATTTTTTCAAAATTAAAATTTTTTTTTAAATATCTTTTAATATTTTTTGTTAACCCTACTAGTACGTATAGATTCGTCTTTTCGTTAATGTTACTATATATCCCTCTTAATATATTGCATTATGAAATGTGATTGCATTGGTGTTCGTATTAGACACCGTTTACAACATCCCCTTATAACTCTAATTGTCCACATTACGGAGGTCACTTTCAGAAAAAATTTTCTCAAGTTTACTTTGAAGCTGTAGTAAAAGTTTACGAGCAATTTCATTAAAAATTTTTTAAGATGTTCTCCCATTAACTCTTTAAAAAGTGATTAAAGACACGACGTGAAAGGCTTCTACATAAAACAAACTTTGTTAGGTAAGAAATCTTGCCGGTGTTATAAATGTGCCGTAAATTTTTCTAATGAAATTAATGAGATATTCTGTACTTCTGCGGAAATGTTACTCGTCAAGTTTTCCATTATAAAATATTCACATTATCAATATATTCGAAAGTTATAGTTGAAACATTGTTTAATAAAGTAATTTCAAAAGATGAATCCATAAAATGATTTCTAAAGATAAATTCAAATAGTGAACTCATAATATAAATATAAAAAGAAGATTCATAAAATGATTTCAGAAGATGAATTTGAAAGTTAACCTCAAAAGATGAATTCATATGTTAATTACAAAAAATAAATTCTAAAAATAAACTCAGAAGATTAATTCATAAAGTGACTTCAAAAGGTCAGTTCATATGGTAATTTCAAAACATAAATTCTACAGTTAAATTCAAAAGATTAGTTTATAAGATGTGTTCATAAGATGAATTCAAAAGGTAATTTCAAAAGAAGAGTTAATATATTAATTTCAAAAGGTGAATTCATAAGTTAACCTCAAGAGATGAGTTCATAAGTTAATTTCAAGAAATAAATTCATCAGATGATTTTAAAAAAACAGTTCATAACCTAACCTCAAAAGACGAGTTCATAAGTCAATATCGAAAGATAATTTCATAAGATAATTTTAAAAAAAAACAGTTCATAACCTAACCTCAAAAGATGAGTTCATAAGTCAATATCAAAAGATAATATCATAAGATGATTTCAAAAATAAACTTCATAAGATGATTTGAAAAATAAACTTCATAAGAAGATTTCAAAACATATATTCATAAAAGAAGCTGACCATATAAGTTCCTATTTACAGGACCATAGGTGTAAATTTTAAGTGAAGTGACGATCCACCATAAAGCCCCGTTTCTAACTACCGCGATGGCAAGCATTAAGCCCGACTTCCCGTATCCATAGCACGAACCGGATTTTTATACGACCGCCCAATTATAAAGCAATTTCGCGACGAGGACGAGCCGTGCCGGTGGATTTAATGCGGTGCCAATCTTTATAATTGCTCTCGTCAAGGAAATCGGATTACAGATTTAACCTGGCTCCGGTAGGGAACAAAGAGTCGTTGGCGTAATTCCATTCTTTTGAGCCGAGGGAGAAAAATCTGCGTATCGTTCCAATAGCCCCGGGGCGATCCGCCATTTGTATCCGCGTTGTGTTTCCCGCCAAATTCGCCGGCTGCCATATCCTTCTATAGTGAACCGGCGGCCGCTGTAAGCGGTAGTTACAACGCCCGACCCGTTAATTAACGTCTCTTTAGCATGATAATCCGTACGCGATATCCATTAGCTCGTCAAAATACATCATGCCAGGTAAAGCGATTTACCAGTCACGATGAAATTAAGGGGCTTCTGGAGCTCTCGCCTTGAATTTACGTTAACAGAGCCATTCCTGATAATATCGACTTGCAAATTTGTCCAGTAAGACTTACTGTTCGACAAGAGCCTTCGTACTTCTCAATTACTATCTGAAGGGTAAATAAATTATTTAAGGTGGAAGGAATTTTAAAGATATAACTTCTCAATAATTATCTTAAGGGTAAATAAACGATTTTTTCTCAATAATAATCTTAAGGGTAAATAAACGACTTAAGCTAGTAAGAATTTTAAAGACATAACTTCGTTAAATTAATTTTATTTCTTGCAGCAGAATATAAGTTTCATGAAGGAGAAAGAATTTCATATTCCACGAATTTAACGTGAAAGGATGTGTTCAAATATGTGAATGTTAGAATTTCACCTTTCATTTTAAATAACTTGCTGTCTGCTATTAAATTACGGTAAAGTTTATCAAATTAAAGAATGTCAGATTTAGTCGAACAGGTCTTGAGATATTCCTATGAATACATATTTCATAATCAAAAGTTTTACACTTAAGACATGGACAGCTTATGCTTTTCAGGTCATAAACAAAATTCATCAATGTTTAAAAAATTGATATTTTAGAGAAATTTATTTTATAATACACGGATCTGAGTCAAAACAGATTTTCTGTAAATTAAAGCTGCGTTAAACTAGCAACTATAAAACAGGTTCTTACAGAATAAGCCAGTGGAAATTTTCTGCCCTGAATTGCCCAATAAAAAATTTCACGATGCTTTAATACAACACTTTTATGACCTTTCCTATGTTAAAGACTTGTTTTCGGTTGTAAATTCATTTATTATAGGTGGATAATTATATGCGCAGAACAAGTAAAAAATATAGAATATACATACTTTTTGTAATATTAAATTTGAATATTTTTGTAAATATTCGTACAAAATTTTCTCAGAAAATTTGTTCATATTTTAGGTTCAAAAATAACCTCTCTTCATGGTGTATTAATTGACAGACTTCTAATAAAAATATACTCTTAAAATGTATTCATACTTATATATTCAAAATGGTTAGCATCAAAACATGTTCAAAATGGTCACTGAACAAATGTTGAAAATGATTATTATTATTAACATCCACTGACAAACAGACGATGAAAAATTATCCAACATGTCCGCCATTTTAACATTCAATCAATATCAAATTATGTCAATATTAAATCACTAACACAATTTATCGCAAACTCCCATATTTGCAAAAGAGCTAGCAAATATAAGTTAAAGTAAAAGCAAATAAATAAAGTATTGAACGTCGGAAAAAAAATGATCAGAAAAGAACGAAGCATCGAATCAATGCATCTAAAAAGAAATGGAGGCATTTGAAGCTTCGAGAGAGGGTATAGAAGCTGAACAATTTGTACGTCGAAAAGCCCCTGCAACGAACCGCCATAACTTAGCCGTGTATCTCGATACACATTGGCACGTAGCGCAGCATACAACCGAAGTAGTTCTCGAAAGTCTGTACAAAGTTGTTTCAGCAACGAGAGTCTCGTTACTCGAGCCTCTGTCAAGCTTTCTCGTGTTTTCCATCCGGGCTGATTCCCTCTGCTTATCTCTGTCGAATCACACACGACCACTTCCGGATACACACAGGGCATCCTGTGTGCCCCAGTTGCTCCTGCAAGGCTCACAATTTTCACGCGGACTCGCTCAAAGGTAGAAAGCGGTTCAGAATCAGCAGGATAAGAGATAAAGGACAGGATGAGAGAAAGAGGAGAACAGACACCGGGAATTTAAGAGAAAACGGAAGTCAGACGAGGATAAGGAAGAACACGCGAACGTTTACCCAGCAACCTCAATCTGGCTGGTATGTGATCTTTGTGCCCGAGCTCTTTTCCTTTGCTCCTTTGAATACCGCCGGGTGCAACAAGAAAAAGCTTGCTTAGAAAAGCGTGAGAGAAGGAGAAAGGACAGAGATGAGAAAACGAAACGACCGTGTTATCGCCCTGGTTGTACAGTTCGGATGTTGGTTTTTCTTGGACAGCGCACTGAAGAATTTGCTTTCGATTTTTTGGGGGTGGTAAATATATTTTTGTATGTTTCGCTATTTTGGGATTTTTTTAGTGCCAAGGTTTGTGGTTGATAATTTTCGAATTGTTTCAATTGTGTTTAGTATTTTAACTAGTAGGTTAATAGATTTCTCCACATTCTCACATATTCACATGTCTACATGTCCACATCCATAAGGATGTGATCAAATCCTCAAATTCTCAAATTCTCAAATCCTCACATCCCCACATCCCTACATCAAATCCCAACCTGCCCAAATTCTCAAGTCCCCAAATTCTCACATCCCCAAATTCTCATACCTCCAAATTCTCACATCCCCAAATTCTCGAATCCCCAAAGCCCTAACTCCTCAAACTCTCACATCCCTAAATTCTCACATCCCCAAATTCTCAAATCCCCAAATCCCTAACCCTTCAAACTCTCACATGCCTAAATTCTCACACCCCCAAATTCTCACATCCCCAAATCCCTAACTCCCCAAACTCTCACATCCCTAAATTCTCACACCCCTAAACTCTCACATCTCCAAATTCTCACACCCCCAAATTCTCAAATCCCCAAATCCCCAAATCCCCAAATCCCCAA